TTAGGGAGGAGAGTGGAGGGAGAGATATCTTATTTAGTCATCCTGTGAGTACATCAGCATGGATTGAATGGATCAGCGAGGATTTAATGAGATCATCCAGGATTTTCTGACATAAAGTATTGCAAACACTTATCTCTACCAAGCATATATACCTGATTGACACTCTGTACATGCAGACATGAAAATAAATCCTTTACTCGGCACATGCAGGCTTAGAAGATTCATGTGTTGACATTCCTTTAAATAAGATGCATCAATGTTCTTTGCATCTAAGTATATGACAAACACCTAGCAATGAATACAAACTTGAGGGTCATTACAGATGGATTATGCAACATGAATATTACCAGTATTATTATTTGTATTTCTTATATAATATACTTTCACCGTAAGAAATACTATTAAAGATGAAATGTGAGAAAATATATATACATGTATTCTTTTCCCAAAATTAATCTGAAGAACTTTTGTCTTTTCCATATAAAGCACATGTAATTGAATTTGCAAACATTAAAAACAGACATTGCATTTTCTCATAAGTCTAGATAAATTACGGTATCACGTTGTGTAATAGGATATCCGTCATGCATGGAGAAAATCTGTAATTACTAAAAAAGAAAACAAAATAGACTTATTTACATATCAAACTAATCCATTTAATCAAGTTTCCTGGATCAACGAGATCATGACATTTTGCAGACAATTTGAACTGTGGTATTCATATCTAGTCAGAATTCATTCTTGGTCTTCCCAGCTAAGAAAGAAAAGAAAAGAGGAAAATAATGAGCCCTGAAAAAGCCTGACAATGTGACAAAATATTTTTTGTTCTTATTTCAAGATATGCAACTCACAATGTGCCCCTCCCCCTGCCAGAATAAAAACAATTCATACACAAATACTCATATGAGACATTTACAACTGGCAAGGAGTTCTTTTCAAAGTCACCCTTATAAACATAAATACAAATTGAATCAACCATTATACCAAAGTTCCCCAAATACACCACAGATGTGATCTCCACTTTTAAAAGTTCCCAAATTTGCCAAGTCTATCCAATACATATCTTGATGTATTTCATTCTGACTACAAATAGAAAGTGAAAATCTGTTTCTACTTCATCTGAATTTTGACTCACATCCTTTGTTTCATCACTTCTTTTCAGACAACAATTGAATTTGACAAGTAAGTCTACAATAAGTCAGACTGACTTACAAATTCCTAGGAAACTTCTCTAACCAATCACTGAATAATAATGATAATAATAATAATAACAACGATAACAATAAACATGACAATAATATTAACAATGATGATAATAATAATAATAAATAAAATAACAATATTAATAACAATAATAATGTATCACAATTAAATGTCATCAAATGGTTTAAATGAGTAACATTTAACAAGCATAAAGGAAAATATGATATCACATGATTGACTGGAGAAGTAAAGAGCTAGTCAAGTTCTGTGCATGCCACCCTCCTCCCCTCCCCCCCCCCCCCCCCACCCCTCCGTTGAAAATGAGAGTGACAAAATGTCACATTCATTCTTCTCTTAGCATGCAATATGGATTTTTTAACTTAGCAAAATTTCTATGATAACACAGGCTGACATGATGAAATTTGAAAATACCAGTAAAGAAACCTAAATGTTGAGAGTAAAACATTTTTTAGCAAGCAGTCCCTTTTAATCGAGCCAAGGAATCAGTAGCTATACTCGTAATAACATGCATCCAGGACCCTCAGTGAGAACAATATCAACAACGAGACTACCCTGGATACAAAAAGAGACCATGATATTCACTTATCATTTATTCATTATCAAGTTTATCCAGGCTGCCTTCTCAAGCCATCTATTTTCTACCATCATGTTATTAAGATCTGAAACAATCATCGCCCTGGAAAGAATTATAGTGCATCTCTCAGGAAGCTGTCAACACATTCTCTCTAGAGCATACGATAAAACACATGCACATGATGCAAATCCATCCTGAACATGTGAACATGAATGCTGCTGATAAACATGAGTAACTTAAAGGTGACTGTTCTATCAAAATTGAGCATGAACCCTTTAATTTGGAAAAAATGGCAAGTTAAAACACGGCACAGAGATTATGGTTTAGTGTCTACAAAATGCTAAAGAATACCAGTATACAAATGTCAAATAATACCTAAGGTACATTTGTCCATTTTCAGAGAAATAAACCTCAAAGTATTTGTTTTATTGGTTTTCTTACTATCATCAATAATATGGACTCATTCATTTCACCCTAAAGTATTCAGCTTTACCGTTAGATAAATCATTATTTTAAGATGTAGATGCCTTTGGTGGGGTACGTAGAACTGACAACAATTTCTCTCAGCTGATCATGCCTTGAAAGGATGGCAATTTCTAAAATTGTGCTTTAAAGATCATGCACTCCTTGTTCTCCTCATCTCCCTCTTTTTTCTCTCCCTGTTCTCCCCCTCTCTTTCTCAAACTTGCATACACACGCACACAAAAATCTGCTATATAAACAAATCAATCTCCCTCCTCCACATAAATTCACAATTCTATTCCCACAACTATTCCCATTTATGTTCTTCCTTGATTTTTTGATTTTTTATAATATTCAATATTAAAACAATACAAATAGTTCTTAAAAATACAATCCTTAAACAAATTTTAAAAACATCCCCATACACCAACCCACACCCACCCCAATATAAGCCGTACAATCCTCCCACATCCCAACAATACATACATTTTCTTATTATATCTCTTTCTTTTTCTTTCTCACCTTTCATGCTAAATGCCTTATGTTTCCTAATCGTAAAGCTTCCTCCAAGCTAATGAAAGCATTTCCTTTTTTTAATCAATTATCAGTTCTTCTATTTCAACATCTTCATCAGTCTAATATCTCCTCTTTTCATACAATAGCTGATGCAAAAAAAAATTGATAGGCAGCACAGGATGTGGCTGATTTGTATTCATTATAGGGAGAAATAAAAGATACACTGACAGGTCATGAAGACAAATTGATATTTTCAAGATTTCCCTGGTGACTTTTAAAACGAGGCACATGCAATAATCTGTCTCTTAAAATTAAATCTGGAATATATGACTACAATGCGTTATCTTGTATGACTTCATATCACATTCTTTCAAACAGCATGGGTGGTATGCTATCAAATGTTGCATATTTCATGTATTTCTTAGGAGTTTGATCAATTTCTTAGTGAATCTGAAAGATAAAGATTTCTGGAGCGTGAATTCAAAGGTACTGACTCTCTGTTTTTTAGTTATGTCCTGTAGTCTGGTAAACTTCATAAATCTGCTTTAAAACACTAGCAAAAACATCAATTTTTTAATCTCAAAGTCATAATGATTTAGTTTGTTAAAAGATGCATTTGTCCTCTTACCAGTCACATTTTCATACCAGTTTGAATTACTGCAATATGATAAACTTAATGTTCTCAAACTTACATATGACATCATTCCAAATTATCTATAGTGTGCCATTACAGGATTAAAACATCAACAAAATATGAACATTCATCTGCAAAAATAAGTCACATTGTGACAGCCCAAAGCGCAAAATAATAATTCAAATTCCAAATAATCAAATGAAATAGAAACAAAGAAAATGATTGATACTCTGTAAGTCAGAATCATTTAGAAATTGTCTTTTTGGAGCCAGAAGGGCGTTATCTCATATACTTTAAAAGAGAGTTAACACCTTTCTGGCTCTGAACAGACAAAATTAGATAGATGATCGTGTATAGTTAGTGATATATCTTTCAATAATGACATGCCTGAGATGGTGAAAATAAGCTTCATTTTGTCATAGCTGCAGCAAAAGCGCATTCATTCGGCGAAGTCACATACCTGTCACAAAGTTCCTTCAAAGAGGGTTCTGCAGCCCTTTAAAACCAATCTATGTAATAAATAGTCAACAGATTTGTCATATAAAATATTCCTATTTCTAAACTATAATGTTAAGAAAAGTATAACTAGTGCTAAAAAATCACACAAAAAATAGGTCTTTTCAATACCTATCTAGTCCACCAAGAGTTTGAATTGCAAAATTCGAGTAGAAATGTGCAAATTAAAAAAAGTAACATATGGTAGTCAAGAAATTAAATAAAGGTTATAGAATTCACTTTTCATCTCATGCTCTTTCAGTCTCTCTCTCTCTCTCTCTCTCTCTCTCTCTCTCTCTCTCTCTCTCTCTCTCTGTCAATGCCACCATCAACATCATCATCTAGAGAAAACAGATTATTGAATCTGTCCCCTGACTATATAAGAATTAACATTTCCACCCTATGGAAATGGAGCAGACAATTATACAGAATTCATGGAAGTGATGACAAGAAAAAAGGCTTGCTTCTGCCTGCTAGCGGCAAAAAGGATACACAAGAGGATGAAATCAAAAGGTAGTTGAAGAAAATAAGAAATGCAATGAGATTTAAAATAAAATCCGAAAAAGATGTGAAGAAGTTAAGCCTGAAGGTGCTTATACATAAATAGAGAACATTCATGCTGAAAGCACAGCTACCACGATGATCACACATAACAGATGATAAGAAATGTATTCTCCAAATTGATGAATAATGATGAAAGTGACTTGACATGAAGAAGGCAAATGGAAAGGGAAAAGGAAAAGGGGAAAGGAAAAAGGGAAAGGAAACGGGAAAGGAATTTGAGAGGAGGGGGGGGGAGGCACTATGCAAAATAAGATTTTGCCGCCCCCCCCCCCCCAAAAAAAAAAAAAAAAAAAGGTAAAAGAAAGAGAATAAACAGGCAGAAAACAGGAGATAAATAAAATGATGCTGATGATGAATTGAATGTCAAACAGAAGTCTTACTTAAAATGTGCAATTGATACAGACAAGATGTTAGTGAACAAAACAGAAAAAAGGAAAAGTAAATACATATGAAGAAGATAAGAGAAAGGATGGAACACAGAAAGCAGAGAAAAATCTGAAGAAAGGAAGACCTAATTATTTTATTACTCACCTGATTTTGACCATTAGCAGCTGGTTGTGTGAAGAAGTCATTGGTATTGGTATTTTCAAATGCAGGGTTTGCATAGAAGCCACCATAGGTTTCTGGAGCCGGCCCACCCCTAGCATGGGGGGACTTGCGCTGAGTGTAGAATCTGAAGATGGGAGAGATAATAATGAAAGAAATCAAAATTAAAGTTTGTATCAAATGAAAAAGCTACCGGTAAAACCTAATTGCATTGAGCAGAACAGCCTAAATTTACAAAGATGATTCAACACATGGTCTTATTTATAGGTCTAATTTTAACCTGGACTGTGGTCTAAACCATCTATTTAGTATGAGAAGCAAAGCATTGGAGTAAGCACCAAAACTAACAATAAGTTTTTGTCAAACTTTAATTTAAAAAAAAAGTATTTTGGTTGCATTTTAACAATAATTTGTTATGTTAAAATTAACTGAACCTAGAATAAAATCAGAGGTTTACACAATGGTTTTGGATTAAACAATTAATCCTTATGAATTTTGACCAAATATGTCTTTATATAAGGTACCTAGGCAAGAATAATCTAGAATTTGTCATTTTTAGTTGGTCATTCAAAACATGCAGTTAAATATTCATGATGTAGCAAAGTAGAGATATCTCCCTTTAAACCATTTGATCCTCTCTCTCTCTCTCTCTCTCTCTCTCTCTCTCTCTCCTATTTCATCATCTTTCTTCCTAGTACTTGAGGTCAGCAAACTACAGTGAGATGATACCTGGTCATTTTCCACGGGTCCAAATATTTCAAGAATACAATGTTTGTAGAGAATGGGAATGCCCCTTATTTTATTGGAGTTTAGGTCAATTCACATGAATGAAAAGTTAGGATTAAATCTGTTCACATAGAAAAGTTACATGTGTACAGAGTTGGGTAATGACCTTCAGTTACGACCTTCAGCTATACCGGTGCATGATGATAGTAGACAAAGCCCCTATTCAACCAGTGTTGGTGGTGACAGGACTTACAGCATGTCCACACACACAAAAAATTATCCCGAAACTCTATAACGAAACGTCGTATAAAGAATCATCGTATAAATTTCAAAGTGTCCACACACAAGAAACGTCATATAAATAATCATCCTATAAATTCCAGGATGTCCACACACAGAAGAAAGTAATCCTGAAACTCTACAGCGAAATGTCATATACATGTAGGTGCGCAGTTTGCTACTGCGGTCATGAAATGGAAGCGGAAATGAGAGGTCAGATCTCCTTTTGCACGAGGTCACGTTAAGCCCCGCCCAGTTAGTTACACCAGTTACACTAGTTACGTCCACACACAACACCTTCCGTGATTAGGCGTGATTCTTTATTGAGTTTTAGTTTGAATGCCCAAACCTGCGTTTCGTTAGACTACGTTTCGTTATATATGACGTATCGTTAGTGAGCGTCCACACACACAATTTCATCGTAAAACTATCGCGAAATGGTATCACTATCGCGAAACGGTATAACTAATCAAGGACAATGTTGTGTGTGGACAGGGGGTTAGATTTATTGACCCAATGATTGGAAACAAAGAGAAAGAGAGTTAATGTTGACAATCTTTGAGTACAAACAGGCAAGCAATTGATCCCTCTACAAATACCAGCTCGAGCTGGTAAAGCATTTGATTTCTTGGTAAAAGGGTTGAGTCATCAGTAGAAGTAGTAGCAGCCCAAGTGTCCAATGAGCATTTGTATTTTTCACTCCTTCCCCTTATTTTTACTTTCGCCCAATCAGAATGTTAGGATTAATTGTTCAGAACCTCTGTTTGGGTGTCCATCAAGTGTTATGCCTGCCCAGTCACCTACTATAATTATAATGAAACTAGCAGGACCCGCGGAAATCCGCAGGATCCTAGAGGGGGGCGGGGGGTGTAAATAGATATATAGAGACTGTCTAAATTAAAACCACCAAGAACTTTATCTGCCATTCAGGCCATTAACCCTAATAAGGCCGGGGGGGGGGGGGGCCATTATGGCCCCCCCCCCCCCTCCACAATTTTTTCGATTGCTCGGGAACGCATATGGATGGCGCCCCGCCGCTCGCTGACTTTTTTCTTTCGAGTCTTGCGCAACTTTTAAAATAATTTTTTTGAAAATCGGACCTACGGTTACAAGGTCACGTGACCTTTTGTCTTCGCATGTCAGCCTGAAAATCGCTCATTTTCGTGATTTGTGTACAAAACGTATGGCAAAGTCATTTTTCCTAAAAGCAGATCAAACATGGGTTATTGGGTCTTGTTTAAAGCTTAGGTGGTTGTTTTGGGAGTCAAAATAGTTGAATTGTAGTAAAAGATAAAATGAAACAACAAAAACAATGAAATACATAAGTTAAAAAAACAATGAAATACATAAGAAATTATCAAAACAAGGGATAACATAAGAAATAAGCTGGCTCTTCCATTTTTTTTGTCTTATTATTATTCAGAATGGTCTAATGAATATATCTAGTGAAAAAGAATGCTTAAATATGAATAATATATGATTTATTGGTAAAAATGTGATTTTTATGACTTTATTTGCATAAATTACCATAAATATGCAAATGAGTGAATTTTTCAAAAAATTGAAATGATCATATTATTCTTTACACTTCACTTGACATGCGTGCAAATTTTCGCGGCGATCGGCCGCTTCGCGGCCGAGATCTTGAGGCCATTATGGCCCCCCCCCCGGCCCTACTAAGACTTCAAATAGCCTGGCCTTATTAGGGTTAAGAAATATACATGTTAAGCGTCCCCGCCCGCTTCCTTTTTGGGGGCCGCCTCCTATTTTTTTGGTTGAAATTTTTTGAAAAGTTTTTTTTTTTTTTTTTTTTTTTTTTTTTTTTTTGAAAGAAAAAAAACATGAAAAGCACTGCTAAAATGTATTTCTGATTTTAAAAAAGAAAAAAAAAGGGCCTCCTCCTTCCCATTTTTCGAAAAAACAGGAAGCTAAACATGTTTTTTTTTTAATTTGGCCTTATATAAAAATTAAAAAAACGATCCAACTGTACCGGTAGTTATTCTTTAAGCCACTGGAACTGCGTAGAGTTCCGTAGTGTGGCGTACCGACTACGCAGAAATTAGGCTGCGTATTAATGGGGAAATAGTCCCTGCGTAGGTTATGCATAGGCTGGCGAAAAAAATTAAACAGGTTGAATTGTTTTCGTTCATCTTGCGTACCCCTTTCCGTCCCTCAGCATATAGTAACGTAGGCCAGCGTAGTTGTTACGCAACACTACGCAACTCTACGTATTGACCCCACGCCAATTAGTGACCCGCAAGTGTCACAAATAAAGTATTAAAAATATGCTCATCTGACCCTATACGCCTAAAACCCCCGAGCTTTCGGGGGTTTATGGCCCCTTGAAACCCGTGGACCCCACGCCTATATTATATATACACTCAACTCGCTGCGATCTGATCTCTCCCCCCCCCCCCCAACTTTGAAAAACGTAACCCCCGAGCTTTTGGGGGTTTATGGCCCCTTGAAACCCGTGGACCCCACGCCTATATTATATATACACTCAACTCAGAACCCGCGGGATTCTAGAGGGGGTGCGCAGGCAAAAAATTAAGTTTTTCATTTCGGGGGCTCCATTTCAAATTTTAGGGAAATTTTCGGGGGCTCTTTTTTCTGGGGCTACTTTTTCATTAATTCATATAAGGATAGGCCCTACACTTTGTTGAGATTTGTTTAGTAGGCTATTAGGTTTCAGGCTTCCTACTACATAATTGCCTATTTAAAAAAAAAAAACATTTTTCTAGTTCAATAACTAAGTTTTCATGCATTGATTTGATGCAAGAACTGTAACATAATAGACCCTAGATTGTGATTATTTCTGACCATGAATTTCGATAATCATTTTTCAAAGTAAAATTTTCACAGGAAAATCAAACAGTCTTTTAAAAACGTAGACATTGGAGTCTAGTAATACTTTTACTAATTCTAAGCTCAGGTTTCGTAAATCTATTCACGAAACTATATTGAAATCGCGGCAATAATGATGCAAACCAACAGATAACAATTTCAAAGTGTCAAATCTCTTCGACTCGAATTCAACTCACACACTTTCAACTGCAACTCAGCTCATCTCACACACACTACACAGTGGCAATGCACTGTATTGTATGGGTGTCAGTTACGGTGATTTTGTCTGATTTTCTTTACTTTGAAGAAATGATTATCAAAATTATGTAAACATGGCGAGAACATCACAAAATAGGCTTTAATTTCATACCTCTATTTATGGAAACTTTATAATATTGCAGCAATCGTGAATTCGTGATGGAAATTGATTGCAGTTTCGCGATGTTTAGTGGTTCATGGTCTAAATTCAGCTTCTACCAAAACAAAATCGACCGCCAAAAACTCGAGCCCTACGCTCCGTCTCGATCTCGCAACTGCGAAAATGTACGTGTTTTGGCGTACTTGCGTGCGACATGGTAAGCCAGGTAAGGTATGGAATATGGTTCGAGTTTTTTTTACGACCGATTTTTGTGTATACAATTTTATACGGATAGTCATCGGTCGTGTGTCTACGGATGTAATGTTGAATATCCATGAGGTATCTCTGTCGTCACGCATATCCTGCATTATGCATGTCGCGTCTGTTTTCGCCCTGGACGTCGACACGGAGGAGGACCTCGGGCGGAGTATAGCCAATTCCACAGAGTAGACTCTCCCGCGGACGATGGCACCGGGCACGGGTACCCCGAGGGGAGGGTTCAGGAGGAGATAGCCGCACCAACTTGGGTCGGCGATCTCATTAAAAAACAAAAGAATACAAAGGCTCGCCGAGACGTCGCGCCCCCCGCGGAGCCTTAGCGTATTATTATTATAGACTAGCAGGACCCGCGGAAATCCGCGGGATTCTAGAGGGGGGCGGGGGGTGTAAATAGATATATAGAGACTGTCTAAATTAAAACCACCAAGAACTTTATTTGCCATTCAGGCCATTAAAAAAATATACATGTTTAGCGTCCCCGCCCGCTTTTTTTTAAAATATTTTATTTTTTTATTTTTTTTATTTTTGAAAGAAAAAAAACAGCGTTCCCGCCTGCTTCCTTTTTGGGGGCCGCCTCCTATTTTTTTTTTTTTTTTTTTTTTTTTTTTTTTTTAATTTTTTTTTTTTTTTGAAAGAAA